AGCGGGATTGCTACCTGACCATGTCGGATTTCTTCCTTCCACTTCATCCCCCTCCCCCTGCCCGTGTCCATCTGAGGGAGGTGGAAAGTTGGATGGAGGTCAAGTCGAGGATGATATGGGTGCCCGAGAGCCGAATACAAGGAATTCCCCTGATGATTTCTTTGAAGAGCCGCCCGACGGAGAAGAAGTATTGTTCCTTCCATCTCCCCTGCCTCTCTTTTCTTCCCCCCTGCGGTTGCCTGGACAAGCCCGTAGGTCTTACATTACCCTCCAATTTGGGCTTCTTGATGCGGGCGTCCCCGTTCGCTGAGTAGGAACGGGGCTTCATCAATAGGGAACCGCTCCTGAACCTAATTGATTAAGTACACTCTGATCCTCCACCCCTCTCCCTCACCATCCCTCGGCCGTCGGACCAGGGCTGTTTTTCAAGAGCCAGGGGTTGTCAGTATTACCCAGCTGCCTGCTTCAGATCCAGCCATTGTTTCAGCGCCTATCGAGCGGCCCCGAGGAGGTTCCACCGAACCACAGTTCTACGGAGCCGTCTGGGGAGCCGCGCTACGATATTATAGCCTGGCGCGGTCGCAACGCTGCATTGGTGCGGTCTTGCTTATTCCCTACCTAGGCTCTGCCTAGAAGGGTTCTTACTCTGTTCGCTTCAAGGGGCCGGGCAGTGGAACGCGCCCCAGGCGGTTCCCCCGGTGCCCCCAGTTGCGCCCCCTAGTTTTAGCATTAGCATTAGCTTTAGCTTAGCTTTAGCTTAGCTTTAGCTTAGCTTTAGCTTAGCTTTAGCTTAGCTTAGCTTTAGCTTAGCTTAGCTTTCGCTTAGCTTAGCTGTAGCTTAGCTGTAGCTTAGCTGTAGCTTAGCTATAGCTTAGCTGTAGCTTAGCTGTAGCTTAGCTGTAGCTTAGCTTTACCCTTACTACTAATGCCGCTTTCCTAGGGGCTCCAATTCTTAGGTAGGGTCGCACTGGGATAAATTAGGACTTCGTACGAGCGTTTTTCGGGGGTGGGCTTAGTTGAGGTCTCCTTGGGGTGTGCAGGGGTCACCTTGGGGTCCTCTTGGGGCCGTCTGGGGCTGAAGAACCAAGGCCATTTGGTCGAGTGTATCTTGCGGCGCTCCAGGGCCGTCTGTGGGATTTCCAGCTTCCTTCTCAGACCCGACAGCCTTGCACAGAGCAGTCATTGAAACATGCTTTCGGCTGTTCCATGCGCGTGCCCTTTCAGAGCCATGTCTTGCAGGTCTGTTGGGGCATCTCGGGGACGCCTTGGCCCTAATGGAGATCATCCGAGCCCGCCAATCGGACGGCCTAGGACCGCCTTGAGGGCCGTATTGACGAGGATTCGCCCTCAGATGTTCAAAGACACGTTCCTAGGCAGTCTGAGGGCATTGGACACGCTCCCACGCGTGACATGTAGGATTCAGGAAATGATCTGCCCAAGCTGCGAAAATGCGTGAGGGGCGCCCGGCTTGAGACGGGCAGTGGTGCTTTGGTGCAGTTTTTGAGAGCCAGCCCGCCGCAGGCGACGATTTGGTTGTCGCGGATGGGCCGCGGGCCGGTCGGGGTGGCGACGACGACGACGACGGCGGCGGCAGCGACGATGAAGAAGACGAAGAATAATAATACTAACAATAATAAAGATGAGGAGTGCAAGAAGGCTTTGCATCGCGGAACCTCTTTGTAGCCACGCACCCCAGGACAGTTCAAGACCGTTCGGCCTCTCACTCTGCTCGGAAGGATGATGAGTGATGAGAAGCAGCCGAGCCACCTTCCTGTAGAGAGCTGCTTTCTGTGTAGCCCCGATTTGCTGGGCCACCTCCCTCCCTCCTCCTCCTCCGCCTCAATCCTACACCCTGCCCCCCTTCGTCCCCTTCTCCTTTCTCGTCCCACAACCTCCTCCTCCTCCTCCTCCTCCTTCGATCTTATCCTCCATCCAGTCTCTCGTCCTCTCTCCTACTCGCTCCTCCTCTCCCGTGTGGAGGAGAAAATGGAGGGCATCCTCCTCGTCCTCCTCTGCACCGAACTGCGGACCGTGTGTGCACGCTTCTGGGCCGACGGTGCCTGATGCCATCCTCCAAGCTCTGCGGAGCAGGCCCGAGCAAAAGGGGGAGCGCCAGGCCCAGGAGGTGCAGAGGAGGAAGAGGAGGAAGAAAATGAGGAGGAGGAGGAGGAGGAGGAGGAAGAGGGGGAGGAGGGGGGAGGAGGGGGAGGAGGGCAAGCGGTGTGCGCTCGCGTCATATCTGACGTCCTACCCCTCCCTCCCATCCCTTACCATGACGCTGATTTTCTCTATCCGCGGACGCGTGTCGTAGCGGACCTGTGGCTCCGCGCGCGCGTGCGTAGTGGGTGGTGGTGCGCGCGTGCGTGCGTGCGTGCGTGTGTGCGTGTTGTGTGCGTGGTTGTCGTGTGGTGGTGGTGGTGGTGGTGGTGGTGGTGGTGGTGTTGGTGGTGGTGTGGTGTGTGTGTGCGTGTGTGCGCCGGTGTGTGGTGTGACGTGGTGT